TGGGAGGGGGGAGCTGGGAGGGGGAAAGCTGATGGGACGGGGACTGGGAGGTGGGGAGGGTGGAGGTGGGGGTTGCACAGCAAGTGGGGGAGGCGGCGGCCTGTTGACAGGAGATGGTGACTTGATGGATGGTGGTGGTGGTGACTTGAAAGATGGTGGTGGTGGCGACTTGGTGAGGGGTGGTGGTGGCTTGATGAAGGGAGGTGGCGACTTGGTGGAAGGAGGTGGTGACTTGGTGGAGGGAGGTGGTGGTGGCTTGGTGGGAGGAGGTGGTGAATTGGTGGAGGGGGGTGGTGGTGATTTGGTGGAGGGGGGTGGTGGTGATTTGGTGGAGGGAGGGGGTGACTTCTTGGATGGAGGAGGCGGTGCAGACGTTTTGGGGGGAGGTGGGGGGGACTTTTTAGATGGTGGTGGAGGAGGTGGCTGGGAGGGAGGTGGGGGGGGCTTCCTGGATGGTGGTGGAGGAGGTGGCTTGATGGGAGGAGGCGGTGGGTTGTAGTTCAGATCGGCGTTCTTCCTGAGCTCCATCAAGTCGCAGTTGTTCACGGTTCCCCGATTGCCCACGGCATGGTTGCAACGGTTGTTGTTCCCATTGTTTCTGAAGCCCCAGTTTGAGTTCCCCTTATTGTACCTCCCTGCACGGGATAGGAGTTCAGTGCGGTACGAGTGTGAGACGTACGGCAATTTGATTAAACCCCTCATACCACCCCAGCAGTTCCGGTGCACAGGCACTCCCTCCCACCCAATCTACCCCGTTCCCCCAGCGCCCACCAATGTTGTTGTCACCGATGTTGTAGTCCCCAAAGTTGTTCTTTCCATCGTTACCAGTGCCAATGTTGCCCTTACTGTCAGCTTTGCAGGCAGTCTGGCCGGGCTTCAGGCATTCCACTGTCAGAATGATCTGAGTCGACCTCGGCAGCAGAACCTTGAAGGGTTCGATGGACACGGCACTCACGGACAGACCCATGATCTCGAGCGTGGAGTCCCTGAATGATCCTGCTTTGCTGAAGCCTTGCTTCCTGGAGTTGGAGAAAAGGGAGAATTGGTGGATTGAGCACAGTCGTGAATTTGCATAAACCAGGTTGCAATGAATCACAGTCTCAACACCCGGATGTGTCGAGCATCTCCGCCTGGCATGGGAGCGCACCTGCAGAAAGCGTTTGCACTCGCCACCTCCACGAAGTATAAATGTGGCCCATATCTGTTACGGATGGACAATGAGCTGATTCATGAGGGTGCTGGAGAGACTTGTTGTTTTGCCGGACATGCGGGAGGCTTGCGGGCGGGGCCAGAGTTCACTCGCAAGTCAGCCCGGCATGACGCCATGTCTGCGAACCGCCATCCCAGAGATTCAAGGTAACCTCACATTGCCACGGGGAGGGGAAAGAATGTGGAGGGACAGGCGGCCTGCGTGGGCACACGCGGGAGCAATGGGTGAGGGGGAGGTGGTCGATTTGGGATCACCGACTGCGGCAATCCGAACCACCTAAGGCCGTTCCTAGGCTCAAGAATGCCATTTAATCACCTCAGTAAGGGTAGCTAGACTGTGTATGAGCAAGAAGAGGGCGAAGGCTGGCCTTCGTGCAGTCGCATACATTTGTCCACCGGCGGGTCGATGAAAGGGGGCGGCACAGTTGGACAGCAGAGAAGAGATACTGTGAAACTTGAACCTCCAGTACATCTATAATTGCAGAATATCAGGATTCCACAACCAATGGAAGTTATGAAGGTTAAGGTGCTCGTGGGATGGTATCTGGACTGCCGGGTACGGCATCCGGATCCGCAACCGGCAGGCCCGCCATAATCCCAGCGGGAGGCTGTCATCCAGCTTACACAAGCACAGCATGCAGTCTCTCTGACAGTAGGGACTTGAATATCATAGGACATAGAATCGAATGGGGCTGGACACATATCTGAAGTGCCCTGGACGATACTGCATCCGCACTTCTGCTGCTTCACTGTGTCCGGAGATTGAATTCTGCCATGCCGGGTCCAGATTGCAGACCCGCAATACTTAGGGAAATAAACATGCGCGCAGAGATGGTTTTGTAACTGTCAAGGCAAGAAGTTTTACTATCAGAGTATATTCGTCAGCACTTTCTTGGCCGTCATCTCCAGGAATCAAAGCGGTGAGGAAGCACAATCACAAGAAGAAACACAGTACAAACACATAGCGTATGTGGAGTGTAGTGACCGCTTCAGATACTTTTGTTGACTAGGTTTGCACATTAGATCTCTCGAACTCGGGCAGGGAGTCAGCTGGAGGACCTCACGATCCAGATACTGGATGACATAACTCATTCTTCCCGGCAGATCGTGCCACGGTCAACCACTCCCAACTAATCCGCCATTGTACCATGAGAGTTGACACAGGCAAACCTTCTCACCTCGGTCCTGATCTTGGCGCTGGTCTCGGTTTGCCTAGTTCCCATTACCATCCTCTGACAATGGCACAGCTCCTGCCTGCCGCCTTTGAGAACTTCCTTCACATCCTGAAGGTTGGAGTAGACATCGGCCAGTCAGACCACAGTGTCCTTGCGTCGGATAACTAACCTTCAAGCTCCAATCAACGTACCATAGAGGATATTCGATCGGGTAAGGGCTCGCCCTCACTGCTGACCATGCGTGGAGCGCATGCTGGCAAAGGAAGGTCTGATGGAACAATCGCGGCACTTTCAAAGACACAGTGTAGCATAATAGAGGAATTGCGGGGACCCACTAGAGCAGCCAATGTTTCAGAATGTATGAAATGTTTGAGATCTTCCAGTAGCCCCACACAGGCAGTGTCCCCAAAGAGATCTTGAGAATTAAGGCGCGATAAACCTACATGTAGTGTCGACCATGTTCCTCGACCAGTATAACACAGTCAAATCTCACACAAATATATTGCTGCCTGAGCATTCAACGATCGGGATGTGATAATGGTGGACGAGGAAGACTACCACTTCTTCGGCGCTCCCCTCGTCGACGAGTCAGACGTCCAGCCCTTTCAGCGATCCGATCCGGCTGCCACACGGAGTCTCCCCTTGCACCAACAGGTAATTACAGTCGTGTTTATTACGACACTGCCCAGGGAGCTCGATCAGTCCCCATCGTAGACGCTCGTCGGAGCTCCTCGCCAGGGAGTGCTGCCCCACACCCAGCCCATATCGTGGATTCACCTCACATCCCACACGCCCGCGAGCAGGAGGTGAAGGACGACCAGGGTCGTCGGCGATTCCATGGCGCGTTCACGGGGGGATACAGCGCCGGCTACTTTAACAGCGTGGGCTCCAAGGAGGGCTGGACGCCCGCCGCCTTCTCCAGCTCCCAGGGCGCCCGCGCCGGTGTGCGGCAGAGCGTCGAGCAGTTCCTGGACGAGGACGAGCTGGAGCAGTACCGCAAACGGCACCTCCAGGTGCGTGCATTCATGAGCACCGACTGTCTTTGCCCTGCCGTGGGCTCCCCTTGGTTTCGCCCGGCAGCCTCAGGACGGCCTTCCCTCGTCCACTCCCACGCTACCACACATTCAACCAGCCCCCCATGGCCCCTGCCACAGACCACGGCGGCGTACGACACCTTTGGCGCGACAGCCGCCGAGGCCAGCCGCCGCGCCGTGTGGGAGCAGGCGGCCACCCGCCCCCAGGCCGTGCCCGGCCTTCTGCCCGAGGATGTCATCGCGCCGGTGGCCGACAGCGTCGGCATCCAGCTGCTGCGCAGGATGGGGTGGCGTCAGGGCCGGGGCCTGGGCGGCAGGCCCGATGCTGCCGGCTCGAGGGGCGCCGCTGGATCTGAGGTGATTTCGGGAACCGCACGTGAAACCGGCGCCGCACTCGCCTCCCTCCTCCCTCCGGCGCCCAAGACGGATCTGCACGGCATTGGGTACGACCCCTTCAGGGTGAGTTGATGCACAGATGGAAGCTCTGATGCTCGGTTTGGGTGCAGGCAGGGTGGGTGGATGTGCAGATCTGCGTGTATTGCGCTCGTGAGCTGGGGAGGGTGAGCAGGTGGCTGCGCTGGACGACCGGCACAATCCACCCCTGAGCCGCCGGCAGGCACCCTCCCATGCTGGCCGATCCACACCTGCCTGCATGGCAGCGCAATCAGAACGTCACCCCCCCCCCTTTCTCTCAATCGCCCCTTGTCGGGCAGGGCGCTCGCGAGTTCGAGGCTGCCAAGCGTGCCCGGCTGGAGGCGGGGCGGCGGCAGAGCGGAGCGGCGGGCTCTGTACCCCGGCGCCACCCGGGGGTGGCCTTTGGGACGGGGGTGCTGGAGGAGGACGACGCCGAGGGGATCATGGATGATTACGTCGTGCACGGGGACGTGGGGGGCGAGGTGGAAAGCGTGAACGCCGATGCGCGTGGCCTGCCAGCCCGGCGGGGCCCGGGCGTCCAGCGGGTGGGGCTTGGGGACAGGCTGTTGGCCGGCGGCTACTCCTTTGAGATCCAGGTGCTGTGCTTGAAAGGGCTTTGGGGGCTGGAAGGGGGGGGGAGGTGTGGATACTGGGCGCGCTGGGGACCAAGTCATGGGTGCCTGCCCGCGCTCGGGGAGGAGACGCCAGGCTTGCTGGAAGCTGCCGCTGGTCATGCGGTGGACTGACCCGGGGTAGCACATGGATGACCAGGCTGCCTTTCGGTTCTCGAGTGAGAAGTCGGCGCACCATCCCAGCCCCCCCTCATCCCCCCTCACTGTAGGAGGAGGAGGAGGACGAGGACGAGGAGGAGGGAAGAGCCCCCCTCCTTGCACTGACTGGAGCTCGCGGACCGGCCATGCTGACTGGGCGGCCGGCGCCGGCGGCCATCAAGAGCAGGGTGAGCGGAGAGGTCTAGCTCCCTGCAGGGTCCGGCGTGCGCGGTTTGGAGACATGTGGCAGACTATTTTCCTTGCGGATGGAGGTGGAGGACGTCCCGTTCTGGGCTGCTAACAAGGGGCAGAGCTTATCCTCAATGGCGGGATCCAACCTTGGTCCTGTGGACCCTGACAAAGTTCAGCTCATTTGGGTGCTCATCCATGCTGTCTCCAGCAGTACAATCACCCTTCCTTCCTGCAGGAACACCTGGCTCATGCCTCCTTCATCCCGGGCTTCAGCAGGGCCAGGCGCTCGACTGTGACGCCCTCCTTTCCAGCCCCAGTTATTCCCAGGGACTGGGTTTCCCCGCGTCGGCGGGCAAAGCCGCCAGGTGGGGAGGCCTCTGGTGCATGCCCGCGGCTGCGGTGGGGTCTGCCATGGCTGTGCTTCGCACCTGGCTTCGATTTGTATTCACAGACCGAGGGCCCCAGCACCTTCCAATCCCCCCTCGCCACACACCACCTCCACAGGCGCAAGCGCCCCGCTTCCCAGCCGGCAGGCAACCCCCGCCCTCCTCGCGCGCGTCGTCCCGCCCTCTGACCCTGCCCTGCGCCAGGCCATCGACAGCCTGGCGTTCTATGTGGCGCGCAGCGGTGGGGCGAGCGAGGACCTGGTGCGGAGCACGCAGGTCCAGAACGGCGCCGGGCATTCTTTCCTGCTGGGCGGGCCCGGCTCTGCATACTACGCCTGGAAGGTGGGCGGACGGTTGTAGGGGGGAGAGGTTCGACAGCACAGATGCCTCCAACAAGCGCCATCATGTGGGCATCCCGTGCACCGCTGCATCAGTCTGTGGACTTGCATGGGGCAGGGGGCCCGCTGTCCGGCACCACTCGCTTGTGAGCCATTCCATCCAGTGATGTGCAACAGAAGTTTACTGACCCGCCCCGAAGCAATCGCTTCAACAGGTGCACACGCTGCGTGAGCTGATGGCGCCCGGACAGGCTGGACGGGACCAGGGCCCTTCCGCCGGCCCGCCGGCGGCCCCCGGGCGCAAAGCCGCCTTCACGTCGGCGGAGGAGCGCGGGCGGGCGCTGGGCGAGACCCCGTTGCCGTCGCAGCCTGGAGCCGTCGACACAGCGGCAGTCTCAGGCGCAGAGTCTTCAAGAGGTGGCCCCCCAGCACCGCGTCGGGACGTGCTGCTCAGCGTCGCGGCCGCCGACCGGCTGCGGCTCGCGGGGATGCTGTCCCGCAGCTTCGTGAGCGGGAGCGCCGAGTGCGGCGACGCCGGGGCCTCGGAGGTTCCCGCTGGCCTCCGCCCCGGAGCGCAGCCCGAACGGCCGCCAAGATCGCAGCAGGGACCGCCCCCCGCGGCCCTCGGCCCGGCGCCCGCGCCTGTCGGCGCAGTTCCCCGGGCCGCGGGGCACATCGTGACCGCCGCCGACCTGAGCAGGGCAGGTGGGTTTGGCGGCGAAGACAAGCATGCCCCAGGCGCGGCGCCACGGCTCCCCATTCGCCGCAGCAAGGAGTGGCGTCCGGCGGCCCTGCTCTGCAAGCGCTTCAACGTGCCGGACCCGTTCCACGGCCGGCCGCGCGAGGTGGAGCCGTCCCGCTTCAAGACCGACTTCCTGGCCCTGCCCGACACGGCCGCCGCGGCCGTCGCACAGGCCGCCGCGAAGCTGGGCCCGGGGGCCGCCGAGCTGCTGGCGCCGCCCGCGCCCCGTGGCGGCGCGGCCGAGGCGACCGCGGTCGGAGACGCCGCCGCCGATGCTGAGCTGGCCGCCGAGCGATTCCTGGCCGACCTGCTTGGCCAGGCGGCGGAGCCGGAGGAGCTGCCCCCGCTGCCGCCCGCACCCCCCATGGACCTCTTCAAGGCCATTTTTGAAGACGACGAGGAGGAGGAAGAAGAGGAAATGGAGGAGGGAGCGAGAAAGCCTGGCGGCCTAGAGGCTGGGGGGGGCGGAGGAGATGCCTCTGGGGTGCTGGAGAGAAGCGTGGACCAGGGCAGGGATGCTCATCCAAGCGGCGGTGTTTCCGAGAGGAGGGAGCCGCAGGCGGACTTTGGCTTTTCCAAGCTGCGCAGCGAGCGAGGGAGTGTTCGCGGAGCAGGTGCGGAGGATTCTGCGGGCCCGAGGCTGGCCGAGGACCCTGCGCCTGCCGCGGGCGGCATCCACGGCCTGGACCCGGCCCTGCGTCAGCGCGTGGAAAGCACCCTGAAGAGCCTGGGGAAGCGGGAGCGCAAAGAGAATAAGCGGAGGTGAGGCGATGTGTTGGCAGGAGGGATGGGAGAAGGTAGTGTTGTCGTCTTGGCAGACCAGGCACGTGACCTGTGGTGGCACTCAGTGGGCGTTTGAGCTCCTGAGAGGAGAGGCCTTCGAGATTGGGGCGCTAAGGGCCGAGCAAGGGGACGAACCTTGTCCAGTGGCATGCACTCTGTGTCCCCAGTCTCCCACACGCAAAGCATACCCCCCTTCAAGACACCCAGCCCAGCCAACCACTCCCTCCCGTCCCGACCACTGCAGCAAGGAGAAGCGCTCCAAGCACCACAAGTCTAGCAAGGTGGACAGGCACGAGAAGGGCAGCAGGAGCAAACGACGGCGGCGATCTCGGTCTGCCAGCCAGTGATGCATGTCTTGTGTGATGCTTGGATTCGTTGGTGCTGTGAAGCACAGATATGTTTTGACCATGACTCCAGCCATATAGCACGGCTTCCCCCAGGTGCTCAACCCCATACAATGAGTACCCGCGCGCGCGCGATTTGCAGATCGGGCATTTTTCGAAAGCGGCGGGGGCGAGATGCGAGACTCGAAGGATCTTCAGCAAGCTTCTGATCACCACAGCCTCCCAGCCCTCATGCATTCACAAAGGTATATTCTACAAACGCAATTTACACTTCCCGGCGCCCATGTCGCGGAGGGGGGTCGGTGACGACCGCCGGACGGTGCAGGAGCGTCTGCTCGAGTACCGGAAGCAGAGGGATGCAAGGGCGGCCCGCACATCGGCAGGTCGAGTGATACATGACTCTGATTCATCAGGAGAAGAGGAGAGCTTTGTGAGCGCTCGATCGGTGCCTGACAGCGGCCTGGGTGGAGGTGGGCAGGAGGGGAACCCACAACCTTCCAGTGGCGATGAGGAGACGGTGTCCAGCAGGCCTTGCTCAGGTCCTGACGCTGCAGCGGGCGCCATTGCCACAGCTGGGGCTCCTGGTGATGATAGAGCGGGGATGCCCGGTTCCAGCAGCCCTCTCGCGAGCGACCCTGCCACGACCACAAGGACCACAAACAGCGAAACCCCCAACCTGGTCAGCGCACTGGACAGACTAACGCTGGCGCCAGCAGGCCAGCCGGACCCTGGCAGGACACCACTCAGGGCTGACAGCCCGACGACCAGACAGTGCATGCCTGAGTCGCCTGTGGAACGCAGGGCGGCAGCCCCAACGCATGCATGCTTGGCCACTGCAGACATACCTGCCGCTCCTACCACCCTTGTGGTCCCAGCTGCGCAGGCCCCAGCCCCGCCAAGCGGCGACGGCTCCCTTGTCCTCGGGAGTTTTAAGCTCAGGTGGGATGGCCCTGGAGACTACAGGTGTTCTGACTGCTGCACGGCACGGCAGATGTGCCTGCCTGAACCTCCACTCCTCCTTGTGTCCCTCCCCACCCATCCCGGCATAGGGGTGACCTGGCCTCCAAGCTGTACCCTTACCAGCGGGAGGGCGTGAGCTGGCTGTGGCGGCTGTACCAGCTCAAGACGGGGGGGATCCTTGCAGATGACATGGGCCTGGGCAAGGTAAGAGTACGGAGAGGGCATGACATAGTACCGCCTGGTGGCCAAGCCGGGTCTGCGACCTGAGAGGCCCAGACGCCAGACATCATCACAGCGCTGCCTTCATCGATGCTTTACCTACCTCCGCTCTCTCCGAATGATCGCCGCGAACGCAGACGATGCAGTGCTGCGCCTTCTTGGCGGGCATGCTGGAGTCGGGCCTGCTCAGGCGCGCTCTGGTGGTGGCGCCCAAGACCCTGCTGGCCCACTGGAAGGGGGAGTTGCAGGTTTGCGGCCTCTCGCAGCGCACCCACGAGTTCGTGACGGGCACCAGCCCCGGCGCCCAGACGCGGGCGCTGAAAAGCACGGCCGGGGGCTGCGGCATCCTGCTCACGACCTACGGCATGCTGCAGCACAATGCACCCTCCCTGGCCTCCCACCCCTCCCACGACGCCGATGAGGGTGCCCTGTGGGACCTCATGATTCTTGACGAGGTGGAACAGGCTGACAGGGATGGAAGGAGGGTTGGAGGAGGGGGCTGGGGAGGGCCAGGGATGCCCGGCCCTTGGGGGATGCGTTTCAGTAGTGTGCAGAGGTGCCATGGCAGCTCTGGGAGGCTCTCTGTGTGACTAGCATTCAAGTGCTGCCTGACAGAAGAACCCCCCCCCACACCCCCCACCCCTGCCACTCACTCCCTGTGGGCAGGGCCACAAGCTGAAGAATCCCAAGACCGAGCTGCGTCACAAGTGTGATTACATCCCGGCTCGGTCCCGAGTTGTCATCAGCGGCACTCCCATTCAGGTGGAGGGGGGAGGCAAGACGCTGCATTACCCATTGCATGGTTCTTGGCGTGCCCTGTAGACTCTCGGCAACGGCAGGTTGCGTCAGCTCCAAAACATTCCCATCTGCACTCCCCATCTGGAAGAATAATCTGAGGGAGCTGTGGGCGCTCTTTGACTTCACCACCCCGGTGAGGCGGCTTGTTGCTCGCCACCGTCTGCCGACGCGCTGGGCTTATGGGACCGAGGAGACGCGTGCATGCACTCTTGTGTACTATGGCATATCATATGGCCTCCCTGCCCCGTTCGCCACACACCCAGCCCTGATACCCCGCACTCACAGGACCTGTTGGGGAATGCCAACAGCTTCAAGGACGTGTATGAGAAGTGGATTCTGGCTGGGAACGACAGATCTGCCATGCCGGTACGGACCTGATGCTTTGTCTTAGTGTGTCTTGCGATGAGTGGTGCCAGTGAGTAAGGATGCATGCCGGGCTGTGTCAGGATTTGCCTGGATCCTCGTCTTTCTCCCCTTGCCCCCGCCAGGAGGCTAGGGAGCGAGGCGCAGCAGCTGCTGCGCAGCTGCGCACTCGCATCGCGCCATACATGCTGCGCAGGGAGAAAGGGTGTGTGGTGTGGATTGTATTCCTTGAGGTGATGGTTGATTGGTTCGCCGAAAGGTGGAGGGGCCAAGGCAGCTTTGTTGCAGATTCATGCCCCTGCTGGCGCTCGCAGTTGAATCAGAAGGGCAACGGTCCATGCATAGCCGACGGACCAATGAATTACCATGGCATGCACACCATGGTCTCAGTGCCTCCTGTCCCTGACTGACAGGGCGATGCATGCGGCCAAAGAGGGGGAGAACGCTGCGCCGGGGGCAGCAACCATTCCTGCCGAGACAGAGCGTGCCCTCCCCAAATGGACACACAAGTCTGACTTTATCATATGGCTGCAGCTGAAGCCTCTCCAGCTAAGCCTGTACCAGGTGTGTGGGTGGCTGGGGTAAGGGGGGGGGGTGGGGCCTTGGCCCTCCATGCCCTGCATCAATCCCCTTCAACCATGGCGGGGTGTGCTCTGGGATCAAACAGCAGACAACACGATGCCTGCTCGGCATCTCCCTCACCCCACCGCCACCCCACCTCATCCCTCCCCAGGCCTTCCTCAGCTCCCCCCTGATCAAGTCGGTGCTGAACAGCTCCCGCTCTGCCCTAGGCGCCCTCACCGTGCTGAAGAAGATCTGCGACCACCCGGCGCTGGTCTCGGAACGAGCACAGCGGGAGATGATGGCCGCGCCAACGACAGATGAAGCCGGGCAGGCGGCCGATGCAGATGTGGAAACCAGTGAGGAAGTCGCGGTGCTGACAGAGGACTGCCCGACGTGGCTGGGCGCCAGGGAGGAGGAGGGCCTGCGCCGCCTGCTGGCTGCGGTGGACGAGAGCACGTTCCTGGCCTCCTGCAAGACCGAGTTCGTGCTGGGCCTCCTGAGGCATCTCGTGGGCTCAGGCCACAAGACCCTGGTCTTCTCGCAGTCCACCAAGATGTGAGGAGAGGGAGTGATAGGTTGTGGGGTAGAGTTTGGGCAAGGGGACGGGCGAGAAGGGTCCGGCAGAGGCCAGGTCGAAGAAGTGGCTTGGCATGCCGCCAGGTCGAAGAAGTGGCTTGGCATGCCGCCAGGTCGGCTGTGCCCTGGCATGCAGGTCCCCGGCTGACCCACCGCAGCGACCCTGTGCCAACGAGGCATCCGGTGCCCGCCCTCCGAACCTGGCCCAGGCTGCCGCTGCTTGACTGTTTGAGGGTACTTTTGCCAAACAGTCCCATCGTATCGCGCGCCCCCCTCCACAGGCTCACCATCCTGGAGACGGCCATAAGAAAGGAGGGCGTGCGCATGGTGCGCATCGACGGCCAGGTGGCCAGCGTGGATGAGCGTGCGGCGCGCGTGCATGCCTTCCAGACCTGCCCAGACATCCTCGTATTCCTGCTTTCCAGCGCGGTGGGGGGGCTGGGCCTCACCCTGACCGCTGCCGACCGGGTGATCATGTGCGTGCCTGGGTAGGATGGGAGACCAAGAAGTATAGAGGGGTGGGGTGGGGGGTGGAAGAGCCCCAGAACACCGACCTGTTGTGCCCACTTGCACAGCCCCGCAGCTAGGCTCATTAGACAGACCACACCGCTTCCCTCAGAGTGGATCCTGCCTGGAACCCGGCGGTAGACAACCAGGCAGTGGACCGGGCCTACCGCATCGGCCAGCAGCGGGACGTGGTTGTGTACCGCCTCATCTCCTGCGGTACTCTGGAGGAGAAGATCTACCGAAAGCAGGTCGGTCTTTTGGGGGGAGGGGGGGGTGGAAGAGACTACCCTTTTTGGGGTGCCCTGCCCCCAGAGAGCAAGCTAGGGGCTGGGCATGGGCGCATTTGACATGGTGCACTGCGCTGTGCTTCAACGCCTGGCCACACACTGGCCCCTTGCGACGCATCCCTCAGGTGTTCAAGGCCGGCCTGTCGAGGACGGGCACCGAGGATGGTGAGCAGCACAAGTACTTTGCCCAGCAGGTGGGTTGATGCATTGGGTAGAGCTGACATTGCTTGGGTTGAAGCGCTGCAGCAGGGCTGCCAGGTTGTTGTGGTGGGGATTGAACCCATGTACCGCCTACATGGCCCTTGCGTACCACTGCGATGCCCCACCCCAACCCCTGCAGGAGCTCCGAGACCTGTTGAAGCTGGACCTGGCGGAGGTGCATGCCTCGCCCACCCTGCGCATCCTCAACGAGATGCACGCCGGCCAGAGGCGGCTCACCCCCCAGCTGTCGGAGCACCTGCGGTTCCTGGAGACCCTGGCAGGGTTTGCAGGTATTGTGACTGTGAGGGTGATGGGGTGGGGATCACAGGGCAGGGAGAGATGAAGAATGTCGTAAGGCTTGGTCAGGGGGGCAAGCAAAGCCACGGGGCTGGGAGGGGTCAAGGCGCTACGTGACTCCACTCTACGGAGGACAGCCATCACCCAGCCAGCCCACCGGCGTGCCGGACCCTGGAGGAGCCCCCTGTCTTATTGGTTCTCCCCATTCTACCCAGGCGTGTCCGACCACGACCTGCTGTACACCGAGAAGGAGGCCAACCCGGTGAAGCTGACTCAGCGCGTGGAGGAGGACTACCGTAAAGCCGCCGCCGCACCCCCGGGCACCGTTTCCGCCCCAGCCTCCATCAAGGGCAGGGCGGGTGGCTCCGCCACCAAGAAGGCTGCAGCAAAGGGTGCGATGGGGGGGAAGATGGTTGAAAAAGGAGATTCAGGCATGCATGCCGTCTGCATGCCTCTGGTTTGGCAGCTCATGCCAGGGGCCTGAGCAACCCGGTGCATCTGCTGTCGCCAGTTTTGTCGGGTGAAGGGCTCCGCTGGAGAATTCCTCCCCCACCTCTTCCCAAGCGCCCTGGTCCCAGGCTGGGTGGGTGAGGGTGAGCTGAGCGAGAAGTTTGCGAGGGCGATGGACCTGCACCGCGGGTCGGGCGAGAGCCGGGCACCGTTCCAGCCGCCGCGCCGGGCGGAGAGCTCCGCGGCCGAGGCCGCGGCGGTGGCCCTGGCCGGGCTGAGGCAGGCCCTCGCGAAGCAGCGCCAGCTGCTCACCAACGCGGCGTTGCTGAGCGGGCTGGCGGATGGGGGGGCCCGGGTGCGAAGGCGGGTGGCCGAGCTCGAGGCGGAGGTCGCGCAGGCAGAGGCCGTCCTGGCGCGGCATGCACCTCCGAGCGGGGCCCTTACGGATGCAAGCACAGAAGACAAGAGCTCCAGCGTGGCTCCAGAGGCGACTTCTGCGGTGCGGTCCATCCCATTTGGGCTCCCACAGTCCGGCGTCAGAGAGAACGCAGCGTCCAGCGGGCCGCCGGTCTCCGCCGACACGAAACAGCAACCTGCCTCAAACAGAGCGCCAGCGGAAGTGAGCACGCGGCAGCCTGCCCCGAGATGGCCTCCAGAGGCCGCAGCCGAGGCCACCGATGCGGCCCGGGCGCCCACCGTCGTCACTGGCCCGAAGTTGGAGTTTGGTCATGGCCACTTCCCTGGGGAACAGGAGATCAGACCCAGCCTGAGAATTCGGGAGGCATGGCCCCCGGCCAGCCGGGGCAAGATCAAGAACCCTGGGGCGGGGCTGCTCCTGGGACCTGCCAGACGCTGCGGTGCCCGGCCCGACGCGCCGCTGCGGCCGGGTTACGAGGTGATGGGGCACCTGCACCTCGACCACGCCATCCCCTCGCCACACGGCCAGCCAGACGCCGCGGGCGCCGTGGGTGCTGGAGGCTCGATCGGCCCTGGAGGCAAGGGACTCCATGAGTTTGCTGATGCCCTGGAACACGACGAAGAAATCTCCAGGCGGCCATCGGGACATTGTGGTTCCAACACCTGGATGCCGCCGCCTGCAGCGCTGAGGCCTGGCGAGGTTCCGCGCCCGGTCAAGGAGCTCAGGCAGGACCTGTTCCGGGCGGCGCAGCGGCTGGAGCGTATGGAGCCAGGCCCCGGCGCTCAGCAGGCAGGGCATGGGGCACAGAGAGGATGTGTGTGTTTGCAGGATGGGTGGGGCTGCCTGGATGTTGTATGAAATGTGGCAAGGGCTTGCATGCCATGCAGCGACCCCAACCCCCACCCTCGCCCACCCCTCGGGACTGCAGTTCGCCAAGGAGGTCGCCCACTTGGAGTGGCGGTACCGGAGGGCGAAAATGGTGGGCATGGAGGCTGGGTGAGAGGAGGCTGTGGTGGCTCAGACCAGGCAGGCGCCCGACCTTGCCCCTCCTGCTTGCGTGTGGTGTCAGGTTTAGCATTACATGCACAGGGGTTTGTGTGTTGGCAGGGCCGGCAGACAATGTGACGATAAGATAAACTCGTCACAGGGGCTTCATTAGGTAATAAAAGGTCTTGGAAACACTGTGTGGGGAGAGCTCCTTCTTGAACAGGGAGGTTGAGCCGCATGCATGCCACCCTCGCGCCAGGAGGAGCAGTCATGGGGGACCAGCAGCTCTAGCACTTGGCTCCCTCTGGGTAGCTGAGTCTTGGGATGCTGTGGTGAGGGCATGAGGGCAGCGGCGAGTGAGGTGAGCGCGCATGGAGCGGCTGACCTGCCGTCTGCCGAGGCAGTGTCCCATCAAAGCCAATCCGGGCAGTGCTCCTCTCAGGAAGTATGGCGCCACCGACCCCTCCCCGTGGCCGGCCATACACAACGCATGTGGCTGCCTCGACGCCACCAGGGAGACTTGGCCCTCCTGGGCTCTCCTTGAATGTCCACAGGGGTTCCTGGGCATTCCCCCAAGGCCAACTCACCTGGATGGCACCAGCTGAAAGGACAGCGTGTCTCTCCAGCTCCTCTGGGATGCGATGGGCTTCAAATCCGAGATGTTCACTTTAAGACGGGGGAACAGAGCCTGCTTCGCCTTGGAAAAATGATACCGCTCCTGCCGATGCGTGTGGGGGATTTGCACGTTTTGCTGGGTGCATCTGTTCACCACGCAACTTTGTGCCAAGGGGATCCAGGTTCTTGAGGGTGACCACATGCCAGACAGGTGGGGGTGCAGGGAGTGGACGGTGAGAGCTCGCAGCACTACTCACGACTATATACTGCTGATAATCCTGCTCTGATTTTTCGAGACATGACCTGTGACACCACTGCTTTTCATCTTTCGTCCACTTCAGTCGTTCCAGGCTGGTAGCTTTGAAGGAGCCACTGGGTCTCTCGTTGCAAAATTTGCATTGAACCTGCCAATGTGAAGGGCAGGTGATTCTGATGTGGGTAGTTGAAAGGGTGTCAGGGTCGCGACTGCCGGACGGTGAATCATTCAGGGCCGCCCGTCCAGCCCGACACCTGTTCCACGGGAGCTTCTGCACAGTGCTGGGCACCCGGCTCCTGCTTCTCTTCTATCTCTGCAGGGCTGCTGGCGCATGCGCCCATACTGAGTCCAATCAAGGTTTGGGGCTCCCGGTCTATGTTCTGGAAGCGAAGGAAACCTAGGGATGACCTTGACCCGGCTCGCAGGAAGCTGGCAAGTAGAGTATACGGGTACCCACTTGTAGAACACGCCAGTTGCGCACCGTACGCGACTTATTCGCAGATCTGAATGAAAAGAAGAAGGGTTCAAGATGATCCAATCTGTTGTGAGGCATGTTTAGCTGGGTGTGCCCCGGCAGGCAGCTGATTCTCCGGCATCCAGGTGGCCAACACTCACTTTCAACGCCAGAGGTGACAGCTGGGTATGCTGGGATCTGGTTCTCCCGCTCACTGAGTAATCGACTTATTTCATCGCCAAAATGACCTTGCGCACCGGCACAGACCTTTTCGCGGAGCTCCGAGGGGGTCGCCTGCTTCCGACGGGGTGCAGCAGGTGGTCGGTGGCGTACGGTGCTGGACATCCAGCAAGACATGGGCTCATTGATGGAAGCGGGCCCGGCATCGCATGACCTGCATCGCCGATGGCTCGCCCCTCCCCTCCCTGTTACACAGCATCGACGCCGAGCTGCTCCGCGGCGGTCTACGGGAGGGCCACCTCATCGAGATATGCGGCGAGCCAGGTGAGGCCATGCAGTGGTGTGAGTGCTCCCGCTTTACACATGGTTCCCAGCATGGGCACCTGCCGGCCGGCCGGCCTCGAGCCAGCATCCCTTTCCCCCAACCCTCCCACGCAGCCTCCGGCAAGACCCAGCTGTGCCTGACCGCCGCGGCGCAGACCCTCCTGCGCGGGGAGCGCGTCGCCTGGATCGACACCGGTGCCAGCTTCTCCGCGGCTCGGCTGATCGACGTCCTGTGCGCGCTGCGCCCGCCCCTGCAGGCCGACCACGCCCAGCTGGAGGCGGCACTGGGCCGGGTGGTGGTGGCCCCGGCGCGCGACGTGCACGCTGTGCTGGACGTCCTCGGCGGCCTCCTCGCCAGCGGCGACGCCATCGCGGCGGCGATCGAGCCGCTGCCGCCGCAGAACCCTCGGCTGGGCCTGGTCGTGCTGGATGCGCTGCCGGGCATCGCGGGGCCGCTGCTGGGCGTGGCCCGCCAGGCCCAAGGGCCTGCGCTCCTGGCCCGGCTGGCGGCGGCGCTGAGGGCGCTGGCCGCCGCGCGGCGCGTTCCCGTCCTCGCCGCCAACGGCTGGGTGGGGTCGGGCGGCGGGGGGGGAGGCGGCCGGCCAGCGCTGAGCGAGGCGTGGCGCGCGGCACCGCACGCCCGCCTGCGCCTGCGCCTGCGCCAGGGGGATGCAGGGCGCTGCGGAGGCGTCGCCGTGCCGGGGTGCCGGAGGCACGAGGCAGCGTTGCTGGGCTCCAGCCATGCCCCGCCCGCCGCCGGCGCCGGCTTTGTGATTGGGGCCGCAGGCGTGGCGGCCGCCCGCTGACGGCCGATGTGGGCTGCACTGGCTGGGTGGCATACCGACACCACGGTCTGCCAGCCGTGGGAATGCTGCCCGCGAGCTGCCATAGTTTACCCTGAAGATCTGCTCAAATGAAAGGCCGGCAGGCAGTCGTAGAGCGCTGGCCTGGACCGGCCTGCCTGCCCAGCAGGTTGCGAGTATGTCGTCGGCCCACGACGTCCCCATTACAGGACCCTCTCGGCAATCCGTGCTCCTTGCAGAGGGAGCATGCAACCTGTGGCCCCATTCTTCTCGTCAGGCAGCTCTGTGTGTACCCTGTATGCATTAACACCTGAGTATGGGTGCAGCCCTTCGCCGCTGTTCACTGCCCGTCACAACCTCGTCATACCACCTGTCCCACTTCAGCCTCATCCCTGGCTTGCCCGATCTTGCCCGCCCGTGCAAGCATGTACACCTGTTCAGCATGCACATGGTGGAGGCCATGGCAGTCAGGCAGCAGTGGGCCTGGGGCTCAGGCGAGGCAGCAAGGATGGTTGCTGGCGCCCCACCGCTCCTCTCCAGCCTCTTTGCCAGCAGACGTATCCCCAGGACGCCCCCATGCCCCCTCTCCTAGTCCACATCAATGATCTTGCTCAGGTTCTGCATCCGGCTCAGCACAGCGTCGCCACGCTTGATGGTCTGCTGGTACAGTCCATTCTTGGCATCCGGCCTGCGTGGAGTGGGGAGGAGGGCAAAGAGGGGTCTGTTGCATGGGGGTAGTGGGCACAGCACCTCGATGAAAATGCAATCGTGAGTGGGGTGCTCCTTTGATTCTTGAGCACCACCTCTGGACCCACTGCACCCCAACATCCCAAACCCAAGCCCCCCCATACATGTGCACCGCTCCAGATAAGGCCCCCTTCGCCTCACCGTGTGGTCTGCACGACGCCAGCGACGCGGTCGATGCGGGCCGCCACCTGGCCCCTCACAATGAAGTTTGCCAGCTCCTCGTCGATGAACTCTGACGAAACTCCAAAGGCACGCGCCATGCTGTCCAGGGTCACCGACTTGTAGGACTCCAGGAACTGCCGGCGGGAGGGGTGGGGTAGAATGGAATGTGGGTTCACAAGGGGGGGGCCTCACGGGCCAAGATGGGGGAGAGGAGGAGCCTTATGGCTCGCCCACCTGCATTGGGCACCTAGAAGCAACCCCAAAACAGCCCCCTGAGCATGGCAGCCATGCACTGCCGAGCATGCCCCGCCAGCAGCCGCAATGACTGCATCGCCCGAGACTCCCGCTCCCCTTCCATCTCCATACCTGGCTGTAGGCCTTGGCCCGGACCTCGCGCATGAAGAAGCGGTAGTGAGGGTGCAGGTACGGGTCGGTGCGGACCGATTCCAGCAGCCCCGAGAACGCCTGCGAGGGAAGCGGTTCGAGGTGGTACGGGAGGGATGATGCATGCTGCCAGGCCACCAGGAGGCATTGCTCCCCCTCCCAGGACTGTGCTCGTGACTGCGATGAGCTACAGGTGTGCACTCCCCACTGCTCAGAGCAATGCCCTCCGTCCGCCCCTGCTTCCTTCCGTACTATCCTCCATCACGTACCCGGAAGAATTCGGCATACTTGCAGTCGTGCAGGGCATTGAGGAAGGAGCTCAGGTGCGGGATGGTGTCGATTACAGACAGGACCTCGGGGGAGGAGATGACCTGCACACAGGGAGGGGGAGGAACAGGGCATAGGGCTGCGGTGAGAGAGACCTGCACTGGGGGAGTGTCCACGTGTGTACGACAGGATGGCCAGGAGCATGCATACCACGGCAAGCCCGCTGAGCCACATGACCTGGGCGGGGCGCCAATGCTCCGCCCTGGAACGGGTACTCCCTGGATCAAGCGCACCACACCCCCTCCCACACACACACACCTTGGCCTTCAGGCTGGGCCGGTCCAGGGTGAGCACGGCGGTGAGGACGGTGTAGAAGACGCACTGCTCGTAGCTCATCACCTCCGTCCTGGGGGGAGGGAGGGGGGGGGGCGCCCGTCGGGGTTTGAGGATGGGAGGGGGGGCGGAGCGAAGAGCCCCGCTGCTGGGGGGAGGGAATGCATCCGGACGCCCATGTGCATGGCGAGGCCAGCAGCACATCAGCCGCAGGGCATGGCGAGAGCGGGCACGTGCAGGGGAGTGGCCTGCGCTCCCCTTGCTTCGGCCCTCAAATCCACGAGCCGGTCCCCTGCCCACCCCAGACTGCCTTGCATCACCCCTCGGCCCACCAGCGTGCCCGCAACCCCCAATGTGTGTGTATGTAGGGTGCCCGCACCCCACGCTGAGTGCATCCTGACCCCACCCACGAGCCTACCAATCAAGCAGTGCCCCACCACGTGCCCACTCACGCAGAGAAGGTGGCGATGCAGTCGAGCAGGAGCTTGGCCGCCACGTCGAATCTGCGCGTGGCCATGGCCTCCACGGCCTCGTAGACCTTGAGCTTGTTCCGGCGCTCCCAGTCGCCCCCCGCCGCGCTCAGCGCGCGTGCCCGGTCCAGCGTCCGCCGCAGCTCCGCCCTCAGTTCGAGCCCCAGCTCCAGCCTGGCCCGGGCCAGGACGAGGTCCAGCTTGGGGCCCGCCCCCGCCGTCTTCCGCTCCGCGGCGTCGAAGGCGGCGGCCGCGCCGGCCGCGTCCCCCGAGTCGGCCAGGTACTCGGCCTTGGCCACCAGCGCCGCGCGCAGCTCCATCTCGCCCTCCGTCTCCTCTGCGAGCGGCGGCGAGGGTAGGGAGGGGGCTCCGGGGGTCGAGGGGGGTGGGGATGGGGGCTGCAAATGTGCAGCACCCGGGATGAGTCTGGGGGCAGCTGGTGAGCAACCCCAGGGCCTTTGCGTGCCTGCTGGGGTTCGCCAGACCATGCACGAGCACCCACGTAAAACCTCTTGGCCCCACACCGCGAATCGACACACATACAGACCTGCGGCGGCGACGGCGGCGTCCAGGCCCGAAAGCTTGGCGGCGGCGGCGGCCTGCAGGCCCACCAGCCGACCCGCGCTCTCCTCCCACTGCAGCTCCTTGCAGACATGGGCGTACAGGGCTCCCGCATCTGCAGGTGGAGGTGGGTGCCTGGGTCGAGCGCCAAGAGAGAGGAGCGCCCAAGGTGCCCTCCCCTCTGTGCAGGGGCGCACATGCCTTCAGCAACAGTATGCATGCCCCGAACTTGGGGGAGTCCGAATTCTTGGATCCAGAGAGTCAGCTCGGGAGTTCACGCACCATGGGCAGTGATCTGGTACTCGATGTCGTACCGCAGCACGGCCTCGTCTGCCCCCTCCGCGTGGGTTTGAAGCAAATATTTCTAGCGCCAATGGTGGGAAGGGGATGATAAGCTCAACTGCCACGATCGAGCAGGCCCCAGCCGAGCTCGACGGAGTGGTGTAGAGGGCTCCCACACGTCACATGCACGCCACTGCCCACCTTCCTCAACAAGTCCAGTTTATAGTCTTGTGGTACCGGTACATCGTCCGTCCCGGCCATTTCTTTGGCAGGGCAGAGGTGAGGGAGCCCTGGAACAACGTCAGCCGGTGATCACCGAGGACAGTCAACGGTGAGGGTGCGCCTGCTATGTCTAAGGATCTCGAAAATCCGCGTCATACCACTCTCGAACGCAATGCGGCATCCTTACAGTTCATCGCTCGCCGGAGCTCAGCTTGGCCACCCTGGCCTGCGCGCGCCCAAATCTCTTGCTCGCCCATCTAGGTTTTCATGGTCGCGAGCATCTCCCTGCTCACAAATGACAAGGCATCGGCATGATAGCACTTCTCTGGGAACGAAGACCTTAATCTTACGCACGAGTTTGAATTTTACTTTGCGCGTGGTAATTTCTTCGCCGAAGAACGACTCAGCTATATTCAGTGCGTGGCCGACCTCGGATCTATACTCACTGCGCCGCGCCCACGCGTCCCCACCCACCCGGCAGATGTTTACATATGGGAGGGCACGGGTGATGCGCAATGACCCCAAGGTCGCAATCGCTGCCATACTGGTGTTCCTCCTGTCCCTGAGTTCCTTCGTGGCATTCTTTGCCCTGAGAGGGGCCCAGGGCACGGCTACAGAAGTTCGGAGGGAGCTCAAACAATCAAGTGAGCAGGCTTGGAGATGCTAGACATGGACGCCGGGCGTCCCGAATTCCGATGGGAGGATCGAAGAGGCGCATTATGGGCCAGTCTCATGCTGGCTTCCATGGATGGAGCAGCTGCCCCCAGACCTTGCCTGCATGTCCCCGGAGCCTCACCACCATGCTGTGCCTTGCAGGAGTGCAGACAAAAAAGGTGCTGGATCTGACGGCCAAGCTCAGCAAGGAGGCCGAGGAGCTACGGATAGAGGTGGGGAGGGGCAGGGTGCACCATCACAATGCCATGTTGTGCCCCATACAGGTCAGAGTAATGGTTGGGGTCCTGGCTACCGCCATCAGGTGAGGCCCAAGTCTATCCTTCATCGCCCGGTGCAGAGGGACCAGCTGCTTGAGCTGAAGAAGACAGCCATGGCCAATGCCGCTGCCCTCAATGAGACGATCCAAAAGGTGAGAGCCAGGGGGTTCTGCACGTTCAAGATGCAGGCCTATCCAGCTGTCATGCCCCCCGTGTGTCAGGCTGGGGGGACACCTGCACGCCCGCACATGGAGCTACTGGACCCCAAACCGTCATGAGTTTACTCCTGTGGCCTCCTGCCCGTAGGCAAATCTGGCCAACGAACAGCTTCGGATGGAGCTCAAGACGCTGGAGATGGAGCGGAGGGCGGCAGAGGCAACGGCGCGCCAGGCCCAGACAGAGGTGGGCCGGGGCTGGTGGAGGATGGGAAGGGGTCTTGGTCCTGCACCGCTCCCTTGGATCGCCGACCCCGCGTCGATGCCAGCTCGCTCTCCTCGCATGCGCAGCGCCAGAGCCATGCCCCCTCCCTTCCCGCCCCGCCCCGCAGCTGAGGGCCGCGCAGGACGGCACGGCCTCCGCCCTGGCCAGCGTCGCGGCCTGCCAGGGCAGGCTGCAGACGAGCATGGCAGACACCGCGGCGGCCGGCAGGGAGGCGCAGCGCGGCCAGGCCGCCGGCGGCGGCGGCGGCGACGAGGCCGATGCCGGCGGCGCACGGCTGGCCGATGGTGGGGCCGGGGCGGGCCGCGGCGCGGCCCTGGCCGACGGCGCCGGGCTCTCCGCCAGGCATGCGCTCCCCTCTCCCCAACCGCTGGCCATGCAGGCTTGATGGGGTCGTTGCCATTTTTTTCACCAGGCGCATGCCCATGTGTGTACGTTTTCCCGGACCCCTGAGCATGCAAGCGCAAGGAAGGCAGCGTCAGGGGGGTATTGGGGGCAGGAGGGGTTCGTTTCAGCGGGCCGCATGCCCTTGCACCTCCGGGATGCAGAGCGGCCGCGGGAAGCAGGGGGACCTGAAAGACGGTGGCTCCTGCGTTGGGGCGTGGTGGGGAGGTCGAGCTGCCGGTCGGACAGGGTGGGGGTTAAGGAGGGGCAGGGGGCGGGGTGGCCAGACCATAGCCCGGGTGCCGCCCCCCACCCCCTCCCTCCTCCGCCCCTTCTATCCCGAATCGCCCGCCGCCCGCCCCAGCCCCGCCTCTCGGGCCTCCTCCTTGCGCCGCTGCTCCTGGATGGCCAGCAGGAGGTGGGGGGCATGGGACTTGGCATGCGCCTCCAGGTACTCCCCGCTCTGCATCTCCAGCAGGCGAGAGATGGTGCGGTCTTTGGCAAACCCCAGGTTGTCGTCCACCACCTGTGTTGCGACGGTAGGGGTTGGCTTGGAGGACTGCCGTGGAGTGGTGACGCCTCTCGCCTGGGCCAGGCTGCCGGAGGGGGTCAAGCCTCCACCGGACTGCGGGCGCTGGGCATGGCCCTGCTGCATTCACACACCGATGCTAAATCACCGCCATCGTTTCTTGCCCCCCACCCCTCCCCAGACACGCAGACACAACAACAGCCACACTCGCGCCGGCCGCTCGCCTGCTCCGGGCCGGGCGGGCGGCCCTTGCGCCTGGCCTCCGCGGCCGCCGCCACGGTGACCACGTTGGCAAAGAGGTCCGAGGGGGTGGCCTCCGCGGAGCAGAGGAGGCGCGTGCGGTGCTCGTACAGCACGTCGATGAGCGTGACGAAGCGATAGGCCTGCGAGCGGCTGGCGCCCGTGAAGACGGGCACGCCGCGCAGGAGCAGCGTGTGCTTGGCCTGCGCCAGGGCAATGAAGTCGGCCGCGCCCAGCGGGCGGCCGCACAGGTCCTCGAAGCGCGCGTGGACCAGGGGCCCGGCGACCTCCGTCAGCGCCAGCTCGCGGCCCATGGCCACCTGGACGGACTCGGGGCGGGCCGGCTGCCCGGCCGCCAGCTCGACGAAGCGGCGGTACAGATCCTAATGAAAAAAAAGAAAGGGGGAGGGGAGCTCGAGGGGTCCGGGGGGGGTAGGATATGGAGTTTGGGGATGGTCAGAGGGCAAGGCAGTGACATGTGGGTGCAGGGGTGTAGGCCCCACCCACACCAGCCCTTGGCCCTCCGGGAACCCCTTCTGAACACCATCCTGCCTTCCCCATTGCCATGAACCCTCACGTCGTCGCGGCTCGGGGTCAGAAAGTAGAGGCCCTCGCTGTGCGTGGCCAGCATGCGGTAGTCGGTCGTGGACTCCATGTCGTGCGCCCGGCAGCGCTCCTGGGGTGCGGGGTAAGGACGAAGGTGGGCTTTGATGGCCCGAAGGGACGTGGTGGGGGCGGGCCGTGACGGCGAGTGGGGCGCATGGAGAGCCGCTGGCAGGCCGCTGCACTGGCGGGAGCAGGCAGGGACCCCCTCCCCTCCCTAGCTCGCCTTGAGCGCCGCGATGAAGGGGAGGAAGAGGTCGCGCTGGAGCCCGCCCTCGTACAGGGCGTCTGGGTGGCGGTTGGAGGTCGCTATCAGTACCAGGCCGTTCTGTGAGGAGTCGAGAGAGGAGAGGGGCCGAGCGTGAGATCCTCCGGCTTTGGAAAGGCATCTACACAGAGTGAGGACCCTGTCTCGCTTCCAGTCCTGACGGTCCCCTCCTCAGAGCGGTGCCCACCAGATGGTATCCCCCGCCAGCCCTGGCTGCCAGCTTGGCTGGAGCGGTGGAGATGAGCCCATGCACACTCGAGCCATCCATGCTTCTGACCCACCCTCCACAGCCTCTGGAACAGGCGGTTCAGGATGGAGGCATCTGCGACGTCCGTCACAAACAGCTCGTCCAGGCAGAGCACGTGCACGATGGGGGCAAGGGAAGAGTGGGGCAGGTGGGAAGGGATTGCATGAGGGGCCCGGTCAAGGGCCAGCCCCATGCATACGCAGGGACAGGGGTGGAATGGAGCCGCCATCACTCCCACCCCGCAGACTCCCAGCCCAGGAGATGTATCCATGGAAAGCATCCCCTTCACCCACCGACTCTTTCCAGCCCCCCAGAACAGTCCACAAGCAGCGATGCCCGGCGTATCTTGGTCTGCGCGACGATCTCGTCGGCAATCTTGCGCAGCGGGTCTGCCGTTCGCTGGTGTTGCCGCAGTCGTGTGTGGACGTCTATCATGAAGTCGTGGAAGTGCATGCGCAGGACCTGCGCGCATTGTTGCGATGGAGCAGGGGTGTCAGGGCAGGGGGTGGGTGGCAGCAGTGCTGGGGCGGGACGAACAGAGGCGCCTTCCATGGGGCAGCTGGCACCTGCTGCCCTCCGACATACGGAGCAGCGCAGCCAGGCACCACCCTAACTTCGCGCACCGACCCCCCACCCCACCCCCACCCCCCCAGGCTCATGGCCTGCTTGCCTGGAACTCTGGCGGGGCCACAGAGACAAAGATGTCCATGAGCATGGTCTTGCCAACCCCCACCCCGCCATACATGTACAGGCCGCGGGGAGCGGGGGCCTGCGGGGGGGGCGAAGCAGCCTGCCCGCCGAAGAACCCGGACAGCCAGCCGCCGCCACGCGGAGCAGGCGTAGGCTCGGCGGCGTGCACCAGGGTCAGGCCTCGCCCGCGCCGGTTGGAGCCGCTGGGGGGCAGGCCCCGCACGTCCCACAGGTCGTCAAACACGCGCTGCAGGCGTCGAGCCGTCAGCGCCTGGCGCGGGTCCTGTGGAGAGGAGGGGTTGGGGGAGTGGAGAGGGTGAGTGGCAAGGGCATAGGAGCGAGAGATGGGAACCCTGTGCCGGTAAGCGCCCCAGAAAGAGCGCGGCGAAGCAGGCTCCTTGGGGAGTGGCAGGAAACTCGTCGGGCAATCCACACTTAATTCCACTGGTTGGCCACCACGCCCTCAGCCGCGGGCACAAACAGCGGGTCAGAGCACCGTTCCCCAGACTTGCAGGCTCCGCCCATGTCGAGCGAGGCCCGCCCACAAAACATAGTTTGGCTCTGGCGGACCTGGCGGAGAGCGCCACAGGCCACACCCTCCTCGTAAGCCTTCATTGGGCCCTCCTTCTTGCAAGCAGGGCGAGGCTGACCCTCGGGCGAGGGTTCCTCCGCCTCGGCAAAGACTGACCCAGACAGCTCGGTGGCAGACATAGCAGAGGACACCAGCCTAGGGCGGACGGTTGTGGTGCCACAAACCAGCTGTTCGGGATCTGAGCAGTTACAAAGGAAGAGGGTTGGTGGGAGGGTGTAGGCCTGCATGTGTCAGGTAGTATTGATGCTGAGGCTGGACTCAGGAGCGCCCACCTCTTGCCAGGGCGCCGACCATGCCCCTCAGCAGCGTCGGCCGCAGCACACGGAACACCATGCCTCAAACGAGCTTCTCTCAAAGCGTGTTTCAGCTTGCTGGCACGCTGAGGTACGGCAGCCTGTACCGTATGACTATTCGGGGTCCCCCTCCCCCGGCCTTGCCGTGCAGCAGCGTATGCTGCGGGCCGTGGCCTTCACAGGCCCAGCAACGGCAAGTTTCGAGCCTAATTATGACCAGCCTAGGGTTTGCTCTCCGAAGGCTGTCGCTGGGTTGCAATGTACTGGATGGGAGATAGATCTCGCGGAGTGCGCGCGCGACAACGGATCCAGGCGTCCCGGGGGGGGGGGGGGGGGGGGGGGACAGCCGACCCAACCGGCACCGACAGATATCCTTAGCAAGAACTGGCGTCTAAGAGGTGGCTTGAGAAACCCTTCATCACACGGAGCGCTTACTCAGGTGGCCTTCAGAGGAGATCAGTGTTGTGATGAGTTCCAGCAGGCATGTTGGTCCCACCTCAGCTACTCTAGCTTCACACCGAGCCCCAACTCTCTCTGACAATCATGATGAAATCAAGGCAGCCAGGAAGCATGGTACTCAAGATCAGGAATTCGCAACCAGGTGTTCCATTGATCAAACTTGAGGTGGGAAGGGTGAAGAAGAAGCGGTACAGGACGCGATTCGGTTTGTGGTCAAGCCGTGTGTGCAGGGGGATGCCAATCAAATTTGCAAAAGTGAGATGTAAAATCTCAAGGAGGCGCATCGTCCCTTTCTCGGAGGATGTATCCCAAGCTGATCACTTTGGGACGATGTAAGGTATTTGTGCGATGTGGAAGGTTGCTTCATTTATTGGGAGGAAAAGCCTTCCTGCGAGGAGGTGGCGGCTTGCGAAGGGGGGGTGGAGGCTTCCTGCGGGGGGGAGGAGGCTTCCTGCGGGGGGGAGGAGGCTTCCTGCGGGGGGGAGGAGGCTTCGTTTTGGGTGGCGGAGGTGGTTTCTTGTGGGTCGGGGGGGTGGTTTCTTGTGAATTGGAGGTGGTGGCCTCTTGTTGTCCGGCGGCGGTGACCTCTTGTGTGCCGGCGGTGGTGGCTTCTTGTGATGGGGGGGCGGTAGCGGTGGGCGTCTGCGAGGTGAGGGAGGCGGAGACCTCTTCCTTGGGGGGGGATAGGGGACTATCGGAGCAGGTGGCGGTGGAGACCTTTTTGGTGGAGCTGGGTGCGGCGTCGGGTGGGGTGGTGGCACTGGGGTGGGTGGAGGGGTCGAGGGTTGCATCGGCGGCGAGGGGATGGGGAGTAGGGGCGGTGCCGGCGGCGGGGAGGGAGGGGGCTCTGCCGGCGGCGGGTAGGGAGGAGGCTCTGGCGGCGGCGGGGAAGGAGGAGGGTCTGGGGGGTGGTGGGGAGGGAGGAGGGGGCGACGGGTGGGGAACAGGGCGGTGGGTATGGCGGCGGGGGAGAGGGTGGCGGAGAGGGCGGGGGAGGGGAGGGTGGCGGGGGAGGGAGGGGGAAAAGGCGGGGGCGGGGGTGGTGGTGAGGGGGGAAGCGGCGGGGAGGGTGGCGGCGGCGGGGGACTAGGAGGGGGTTCTGGGGGTGGCGAAGGGGCGGTGATGGGCACCGTGCTCGACTGGTACTGCTGGCCCGCATTGTCCTGTGCGAGGGCCACGGCAGTGCCCTCCACCGAGGCGGCTGCCAGGTTGGCGACCTGGGTGGTGACCAGGCCGGTGGGCGCGTACGACCTGGCCAGGGTCGAGTTCCCGAGCTCGTAGACGACGGTGACGAGTGCCATGAGCATCTCGGTGACAACCTGCACCCGGCACTCCACCGCCTCGCCCGTCGCCCGCTGGCAGGTAGCGAAGCTCAGGTACACCGCCGGCGTGGGCGGTGGGGGGGAGGGCGGGGTCGGCGGCGAGGGCGGCGAGGTCGGGGGCGGAGGGGAGAGGTCAGTTAGGGCGAGCAGGTCAGACTCGTGGTACACCCCGTCGGCGTCGTAGATGTAGGCGAAGCAGGTGCCGGCGGCGGAAGCCGCCCCGAAGCCCTCCCGCACGGTGGTCTGCAGGGCGGTGGGCGCGTAGCTGGTGGCGAAGCGGACGCCGCCCAGGGTCCACTGCAGGTACACGGCGGCCGGGAGCTGGACGGTGGCCGCCGTGGCGGTGCACTCCACGGCGTCCTTGGAGGCCCAAGAGCACTGCGCGGCGAGGAGGGAGACCGGGGGTCCGGGGGGAGGGGACGGGGCGGGAGGAGGCGAGGGCGGCGGCCTGCCCTGGCCGGGCGGAGAGGGGGGTGGCGGGGAGGGGAAAGGGGAAACGGGGATGGTGGCGGAGTCCAGGGTGTCGCCCGCGGCGGACTTGCACCAGGCATATGCGTGCCCGCTGGCGATCGTGTGCTGCTGTACCGTCCAGGTGGTGTAGGAGGTGAGCTGGGAGGGGGAGTAGGCCACGTCGGCGCTCAGGCCCCCTAGGGTGTAGGCCACGTTGACGCCATGGGGGGTGAGCGCCGCCAGGGTCACACTGGCCGTGCAGGTGACGTAGTTAGCCCACTTGCCATCCACCAGGGGTCTGATGCACATGATGTAGTTCAGCACGATGGGTGCGTTGTCCTGCGGGGGTGGGCGGGGCAAGGCGATGCGGGGAGGGGTCTAGAAGAGGAGGGGGGAAGGCCCGATCAGCAGACGGCACCCACGTCGCTCACGCCACTCACAGCAGATGCACACACGGCGCCGAGAGTGAGGGTGAGCCCACAGGCGACGAGCGCAGCTGTCGACCAGCCCATCCCCCGGGCTCCAGTGTCAGACCCGTCGGAAACAGCGGGACCCTCCCCTCAGGATCCCGTCCTCAGCATCCCAGCAGGGGCGTCGAGCGTGGCTAACACTCGTGCATGGTACATCAACATGCAATTGGCATGGTTCACACTGTCCTAATCACTCAATCCAGCATTTGGGGGTGTGGGGGTGGAGGCCTCGGAAGGCTGTACTTGCAGCGGCCGTCCGGACGGAGGAGTCGTGTTGCTCATATAGGCCATCCTCAGGACGAGGCTCGTCCGCCACCCCAGCCGGCTCATGTTAGAGCATTGCAAATCATTCTTATCAAGTGCTTTCAGATAGTTCGAAGATAGCCCAGAATTTAGCTCCCGTTGAGGCAATTTTCCACGGTCTTGCCGTTGCCCACCGGAGGGATGCATATGCCCAACACCGGGCGAATAGCAGTAGTCCGTCAATATAAGAAATAATATTGCATCGAATGCAGGGGTTATAGAATTAAGATGGCACACCTTGGCCATGACCGCTGTCGCCCGTCGGGCCCCTTCAAGCCCAACATGGCGCATCCCACATCCTTCGCCCTCCCCACCTGCTTAGATCATGGTCCAGCTGTTGACGAGTATGGTACTTACAGCAGGAACAAGGTCACCTTGGCCTTCATTTGCCTGCTGAAGCTGTGTACCGCCCCTTCTCCCTCCCCCCTCGCCCTCCACGTTGGAGCGGATGCATGCCCTGCTCTGTCCTCGATGCGCCATTCACAAGGAATGGTCTCTGTTGGCCAATTCAGTAGCATGAGCGTCACAGCTTCCGTCAGGGCCATGTACAGAGCATTACGCTCCTCCCACACCCTTCTCTACGATATAAGCTACCCTTGGCGCCAGCCTCTTATGATTCTGGTCGACCTCTGCATCGCCCTCTGGTGGGCGGGGGTTGCGTGGAATGCTCTCAGCAGTAATGTTGGTGCGCTGTTACTGTCCACAAAGGATAGGCCAGTGGCACTGTCCTGTCCATAGGGTTTAGGCTCCAACCGTGTTGGAGCCAGGTCAGTACCGGTTTAACCTGTGAGTTTCGGGTCTGGCATTGGCCTCCGCCCCTTGCTGCGCCTCCTCTTGGTGCTGAAATGGGACATCGCGATGAGCCCGACGTCTGTGTGCAGGCAGAGTGCCCCAGAAATCGCTACCTCTCTCACCCCTAGGGCGGGCCCGTTGCACCTGGTTTCGAATGCCTAAATAAATCAGAATGCTGGCTTGGACCAGACATGATTGGGTGCATGGGTGGTAATAGAATGAATGTACAGATGCAGTCTGCTGCAACAAGAAAATCATGTACCTCACGGAACTCCGATCTGCTCGCTGCAGCCTCCTTGTCCTCCTGCACAGCTACCCACATGCAGTCGGGGACCTCCTAAACAGCTCCCACTTAAATTCCTCAAAAATGAAATGCGGTTATCATCGACAAGGTCTGGGCATATGGTGCGCCAGACGCTGATGCTGTGCTGCCGTGGCACACTAAGTACTTCTGACGACAGGCATCTTTGCCGGTCCTCACAGATCATTCAGGAGCACGGACACGCAAGTAGTATCTGGCCGAAATCTATTACTTCATACGACGAAGATTCTCGAGTAATTGCGGCGCAAGGCGACGGTATGCAGGCTGTGTTGCACGAGCCTCCGCTGGGATTAAAGCTCGGCTAGACCCTCTATTGTAGGGTGCACGGCTTGATGGAAGGACGCACTGCACATGCGGCCCTCGCCTTGGAGGCATTCATTCACGCGCTCCGTTGGGATTATTGCTTGTGTCATGAAGGATCCTTTGCAGTGACTGTAAACTGTGGCCTCAGCGCCGATCAGCTTGGTTGATGTGTATGGACACTCAGACAGAACGGATAGCTTTGGTACGTTCCGCATTGTTTGCAAGCCATGTTGGGTGTGTGAAGTGAACGTAAGCCATTTGGGTTCGTTTTCGGCAATCACTTGAGGGGTTCCGCGAGTTCAAATTTGAGTTGAAGTGAGAACTCCCCAGTACAGATCTCGCGATTGACAGATGGCACGTTCTCAGCGTTTGCGAGGTACAGATTTGTCGCCCGGAACCCCGGCGATTAACCGGCGCAGGATTCGTAGGGTGGGCAGCACAAGGCGCCCGGGGCGCCGAACACTCAGGAGGGAACGCAGACTTTAAAGATTCCCTCCGTTCACACATTAAGGTGGATAGATTCAGTTTTATGGAGCGCGAAAATTGCCGTACGTTGTAGTTGACCGTCCGCATTGTCTGGTTGTGTGGCCGGCAAGGGCGAGTCGTGCGTGTCTGGAATATTCGGGGACCCGACCCATTACCCTCCTATGGGCGCTCCTGATGGCTTGCCAAGCAATGAATGACTCAGAGGTAGGTGTATGAGGATTGCGCTTCGACCACATGCTGCGCTGGCCTGCTCCTGCTCTCAAAGCCTCATATTCTCCCATTTACCTCACCCCTCCTTTCCCACTCTGCGCACAGGTGACACCGGCCATCACCATGAACTTCATGGAGTGCGCCATCAATTCCGACGATGCTTCGCCCATCCAAAGGAGCGATTGCGCAGTCAGTGTGACGGTGACTGAGCTGCCTGCCAATGGCTATGACTTCGAGTACACTAAATGGTGGTGACAAGGACAACATCAGGTTCACGCCTTCCCAGCTCACCACTGTCATCACGTGGCAAGTACCCGGGATTTCACCAAGGGCAGTGCCTACGCTTGGTACAAGGCTCCTGATGGGAGCATTGTCCACTCCAACGACATCCCCATCACCCACTTCGCGAGCATGACGACAGGCATCTTTGCCGGTCCTCACAGATCATTCAGGAGCACGGACACGCAAGTAGTATCTGGCCGAAATCTATTACTTCATACGACGAAGATTCTCGAGTAATTGCGGCGCAAGGCGACGGTATGCAGGCTGTGTTGCACGAGCCTCCGCTGGGATTAAAGCTCGGCTAGACCCTCTGTTGTAGGGGGCACGGCTTGATGGAAGGACGCACTGCACATGCGGCCCTCGCCTTGGAGGCATTCATTCACGCGCTCCGTTGGGATTATTGCTTGTGTCATGAAGGATCCTTTGCAGTGACTGTAAACTGTGGCCTCAGCGCCGATCAGCTTGGTTGATGTGTATGGACACTCAGACAGAACGGATAGCTTTGGTACGTTCCGCATTGTTTGCAAGCCATGTTGGGTGTGTGAAGTGAACGTAAGCCATTTGGGTTCGTTTTCGGCAATCACTTGAGGGGTTCCGCGAGTTCAAATTTGAGTTGAAGTGAGAACTCCCCAGTACAGATCTCGCGATTGACAGATGGCACGTTCTCAGCGTTTGCGAGGTACAGATTTGTCGCCCGGAACCCCGGCGATTAACCGGCGCAGGATTCGTAGGGTGGGCAGCACAAGGCGCCCGGGGCGCCGAACACTCAGGAGGGAACGCAGACTTTAAAGATTCCCTCCGTTCACACATTAAGGTGGATAGATTCAGTTTTATGGAGCGCGAAAATTGCCGTACGTTGTAGTTGACCGTCCGCATTGTCTGGTTGTGTGGCCGGCAAGGGCGAGTCGTGCGTGTCTGGAATATTCGGGGACCCGACCCATTACCCTCCTATGGGCGCTCCTGATGGCTTGCCAAGCAATGAATGACTCAGAGGTAGGTGTATGAGGATTGCGCTTCGACCACATGCTGCGCTGGCCTGCTCCTGCTCTCAAAGCCTCATATTCTCCCATTTACCTCACCCCTCCTTTCCCACTCTGCGCACAGGTGACACCGGCCATCACCATGAACTTCATGGAGTGCGCCATCAATTCCGACGATGCTTCGCCCATCCAAAGGAGCGATTGCGCAGTCAGTGTGACGGTGACTGAGCTGCCTGCCAATGGCTATGACTTCGAGTACACTAAATGGTGGTGACAAGGACAACATCAGGTTCACGCCTTCCCAGCTCACCACTGTCATCACGTGGCAAGTACCCGGGATTTCACCAAGGGCAGTGCCTACGCTTGGTACAAGGCTCCTGATGGGAGCATTGTCCACTCCAACGACATCCCCATCACCCACTTCGCGAGCACCCCTCCCCCTCGGCCATCCCCACCACCTCCATCACCGCTGCCACCCATTCCTTCGCCCCCACCACCCGAGCCTATTGTGTTTGACTCCGTCCTATGCCAAGCGTACTTCAATCAAAGGATCGCATGCAACGTCACCATGACCTTCGAGGTTACCCCCGACACTGTGTGGCTCACCTTTGCCATGGTGGATGGCTCAAAGGCACAGCAGAAGCAGTTTACCAACTCCAAGCACATGATCTATACCATGATCTTCTCAGGAACCGACCCAGCTGGTACAGTAACAGCCACAGTCGTCACCCATGGCGTACCTGTCACCGTCGGTCCCTACACTGTCACTGTGCTCACAAGCATTCCCCCACCTCCGCCGCCCACCCCGCCCAGTCCAAGCCCTTCTCCCCCACCAACACCCGTCGACGTGACACTGAGCAACGCATGGTGCACGCAGCAGGAGTCAGACCTCGACAAGTGCCAGGTCGAGGTGGCCACCAGCAGCCTGCTGGCGCTCATCACCGTCACCTACGACGTCGGCGGGGTGAGTGCCACCCATTCCTATGCGCCCCGAGATCTCAACACGATCAGCACCATCACTGTCACCACGAGCTCCATGGAAGGGTCTGTGTCGGCAGTCGGTCAGGACGAATTTGAGTTGAAGTGAGAACTCCCCAGTACAGATCTCGCGATTGACAGATGGCACGTTCTCAGCGTTTGCGAGGTACAGATTTGTCGCCCGGAACCCCGGCGATTAACCGGCGCAGGATTCGTAGGGTGGGCAGCACAAGGCGCCCGGGGCGCCGAACACTCAGGAGGGAACGCAGACTTTAAAGATTCCCTCCGTTCACACATTAAGGTGGATAGATTCAGTTTTATGGAGCGCGAAAATTGCCGTACGTTGTAGTTGACCGTCCGCATTGTCTGGTTGTGTGGCCGGCAAG